TTATTAACTTCCTCCATGTGCCCCACACGGGAGACATCCCCCGTTTCACATGGAAATGCAGTCCTTTGGGTGGAACCCAACAGCTGTTTCCCAGCCCACAGGCACGATCCTGAGCAGCACAGGAGAGAGAAACCCATTAAAATGCTCCTGCCACTCAAAACTGCAGGGGAGGGGGGTTTGAGGGGTGAAATGTAATTATCAGGGCTGGCTCCTGGCCAGGGAGCTGCCTGTGGCACTGCCTTTCTCCTGCAAACACTGGCCAGTCTGTGCTGGGGCAGCCCAGGGCTGAGTTACCTCTGCCACTCAAAGGGGTGGGAGATTGGAGGGCTTTGTTCCCGCCAAAGAAAAGGACAGAATTTATCTTAATAATGATTTACAGCCTGTCACTTGTTGGTGGGAGAAATGAGGGGCTTTAGGTGGCCCAGCAAAGCAAGGAGCAGCAATTCCACGTTGGAATTGCCAGGGCAAGGACCTGTGAATTCTCTCGAGTGCACACCCACTCCCCCAGAATTCTTCTGCTTCTTCAGTCACTGATAAACCCTCACCTGCCTTGAGAGAGGCAGGGCTGTGCCCACCACAAAGCACCAGATGAGCCCAGAATTCCATGGAGTCAGGTGTTCCACCACCTTTCCAATCCCTTGGATACATGGGAGGAATAAACCAGGCAGTGCAGTCAGAATAATCTTGCTGCGTGTGCCATCTCCTGCTGCAGATTTTCTTTTCTAGAACAACAAATGTTGTTCTGATGCTCTTTTGGGGTGGTTTTTGGTTTTGTCTTTTTTGTTTGTTTGTTTTGTTTTTTTTTTGTTTTTGTTTGTTTGGTTGGTTTGTTTTGTTTTGGTTTGGTTTTTGTTTGTTTGTTTTTTATTGGTCTCCAGCCCTCCATTTATATTCAGTGCTCTTGAACACAGGGATCTGTCAGTCAAGAAGGAAAGCTTTGATGAAGGGCAAGTGCTCCACTTGTAGCCAGACATAGATGTGGACAGTCTGTATCTTGTTTTAACAACTTAATTGCTTCAAGATCTTAATTGCCTAAACCTCTGAAGTCGGGTCCTCTTGCAGGAGCTCCCAGGTCCTGCTTATCATACGAGTAAGATCACCTTAGGCAACTTATTTAAACTGTTACACTCCTGGGTTCGTTTATTTATTATTATTATTTATTATTATTTGTTTACTTTATTATTATTATTATTATTATTATTATTATTATTATTATTATTATTATTATTATTATTATTATTATTATTATTATTCCTCAGGGGCAAAATTTCACCCCAAAGGATGTGTCTGTGAATTAAAGTGTGCTTTGTGTGGAAGTGCCTGTGACCAGCAGCACAGCCACCACAACTTGGATCTTATTTTGGGGAGGTAAACACGGGAATATGTGCACTGGCCACCACGTTATCATCGTGGCTGTTGTGCTTGTGATTTGCTGCTTGAAATGTGAAAGATGTTTATCTGGGATTAACAAGCTGCTCAGAAACAGGGGATATTGCCAGTGTGGTTTTTGGAGTTCAAATGTATCTCGAGTTCACTCTGTCTGGTGCTGAACTGATTCAAGTTCAAGGTGATTTAATTCCTGAAAGAGCAGCGTGGGTAATTTTTTGCAGCTCTTTTTCCCTTTGTAATGGTAATGGCAGTGTCTGAGGGTGTTTGTGACTCCAATCCCACTGCAGGTCAGTAAGAAGTGGGTACCCAGTGCCTCATCCTTGAGGAAATCACAGCCCTGGGGGAAATATTCCCCAGGAGTTGCTTTGCTGGGGTGGATTTTGCCCCTGCTCAGCAGCACTCCCAGGGTGACCCCCAGCCTCCAGCAGCTGGGTTTGCCTCCACAAACTAACTTCTCAATTCTAATTTCTGTGGGTCAATGGCCAGAAGGTGGTCAGTGGGCTGTTGAAACACACTTTTTGCACAGGAAACGCAAAATTCTCCCAGTTTAATGGGAGAACACCCTTTGTAAAGTCATTTAAAACGAGAACTCGGTCCTTCAGTTCTCGGAATTCTCTTTTCATTTCACACAAATGGGTTTGCTGGGTCCTGCATTGCCAAGGCTTCTTCCTCCAGGAGCAGGGAAAGGCTCGAGAGCAAATACCCAGAGATATGGAAGGGATTTGTCTTGGAGTCAAGTGTTGCCATCAGCAGCAAGGCCCAAAGCAGGAATGTGTTTCCCTGCTCCCAAAAACCTCGTGCCAAGTGCTTGTTTGCAGAGCTTGCTACAATCCAGAGTGTGGAGGGTGAGGGGATGTGTAGATCTTACTTACACATCCGGTTTCATCTCTTTTTTTTTTTTCCCCTCTTTTCTTTTTTCCTCTTTTTATCCCCTGGTTTGATTTTGGCAGCGAGGAGAGATTCCTCAGGGGATGAGCCATCCTTGCATCTCCAGAATGCCAACAATACTTTCTAAACATCTCCCTTTAACTCCCCCACCTGAAAGAAAGAAAGCCTTAATTATCAAGTTATTAGGAAAAAGCTTGTGTTGTTTTTTCCCTTCAGTGTTTCCTCTGTTGCTCTTTGCTTTGGTGATAAAGAGTTTGAATAATGCAGCTGACTCCATGTGGTGCTGGAGAACTGTTTTGTCTCCAGGCAGTTCCTTTTTGACAGCCTGTGTGTGTTTCCCTTCTCATATTTATGGTTTATGCTCTCAGGAATAATGCCCTGCATCTGGAATGCCAGTCCCCTCCTATCCTGCTCCTTCTCCATCCCTTTCTTTAGCAGCCAGCATCCATCTGATCATAAAATTAGAATTAGTCCTCAATAAATTAACTAGTTATTGTTGGGACCTCTTTTATACCCCGGTTCTTCCACAGCTAAAAATAAAGGGAGGCTGTGACCCTGTTGCCTCTCAGTGAAAGGTATTAATTTATATCATTAATGGAGCATTTATTTAATTAAAGACCTTATAATTGTATTGTTTAAGGAGACTTGGCCAAGTGATTTGGGGGCTCAGGGGACTGGTGACAGGATATAACCCTGGTCACCTCCAGGTCACTAGTTCAAGTCTAATTTCTGTGGATCAGTGGCCAGAAAGTGGTCAGTGGGCTGTTGAAACTCACTTTTTGCATAGGAAATGCAAAATTCTCCCAGTTTGATGGGAGAATACTCTTTGTAAAGTCATTTAAAACGAGAACTCGGTCCTTCAGTTCACGGAATTCTCTTTTCATTTTGCACAAACCCTCTCAGGTTGGTCGCCTGCCTTCCTGCTTGCACAGCAGAGAACTGGGATCTCTTCCTCCCCTTTTAGGCTTTTAAATAAAATATAACCACTTAACCTGGCAGGTAAAGCTGAATTAGAACTGGGACTGCTAATTGGGAATCGTCCTGTTCTGTTTGCAGAGATAAATTAAAGGGAGTCTTGAATCAGTGCATGTTTGTTTTTCTGTAGTGCTGCTTCACCCAGTGGATGGTTCTTCTCCCCTGGGCTTTAGGGTGCATTTAGGCAGGTTGATTGCTTTCATCTCACTTGTGCAAAATTGGGGGTATCCTGCCTTTCTAACTTAGAAAATTGAGGCAGAAATGCTGATTTCATTATGAAATATTCACTGAGCCATTGACTCTCTTTGGTTCCTGGGTGTTCCTTTTAGCCACGAGCTCCTTTGCAGCATAAGGGAGATTTAAAACCAAAAATAATGTGGAAAACCAGTTTCACCTGGGTGTACAAAAGGATTCTTGAACACAAAGCATCTCTTGCCTTTTTAAAATACTTATTATTTCCTTGTCAAACACAGAAAAGTAGGTACTAGCCAGTAGATAAGTGGGTGGAATCAGATCTTAGTCAAATCTAAGATCCTCTGTCAATCACTGTATTAAAATGAACCACAAACCAGGAGGGTGGGGAGAGGAAGAGAATCATTCTTCTTTCTCTTGTCTGTTTATCTGCTGATTAAAGATGTCACACTGGGAGTGCTGAGTGGAGATGGATGCCCTGAATTTATTGGGAACAAGGCTGAGTGTGGTGAACCCCTCGTGAGCCACGACCGTGCCTGTGATCCATTATCCAGGAGCATCCCTGTTAATGATTGAGGGTATTGATGGCATTAGTTGTTCCAGGCAGAATTTACATCCAGCCTTGTGACAGGACTGGAATGTATAACAATTCCCAAACACACCAGGCTCTGTGTAGACATGTGGTGTTCGGAATGAGAAGATGGATTGTCGCGGCGTGTCTTTAATTCCCAATTTCCACGGGGGTTCTGTGTGTGTTGGGTGCTCTGCAGCCTTTCCTTCCACCCTGGCTCAAAGGCTGCCAGGCCCCTCCAGCTTCCAGGAATGCAAAAGCCAGTGTCAGAGGAGTTTTGAAGGTGACAGCTCCACATTTTGTCCAAGTTTTCAGGTCCTCATGAATTGCAGAAGAGCGCTCACTGCACATCCTGGTTTTATGGCATGGCTGGAAAAATGCCTTTTCCTACCTGCAGCTCTGCCTTGAGGGAACACTGAGGGACAAAACAGGCACAAGAGATGAGTAGAATGAACATCAGGAATCTTAGTCCTCCTCTAAAAGTGTATGGCTGTTGAGGTTGGGTGGATTTGGGTTTTAATTCAGGCTCTTAACAGAGATTTGGGGGTTGGGCCAGACCAGATTGTGGATTTTCAGGGTGTTTGAAGCTGTCTGTAGAAGGAGTTGTGCCACATTTGGGCTGTCCTACTGTCAAGTTTCAGCTCTTCCTTTTTACTCTTGGCCTGGCAGGGCCAGACTGAGAGCACAGCCCTGCAATGTGAGTCCCCCAAAAGTGCCCTCCCCGCCTGCTGTGCTGCTTTTCCAGGGGTGAGAAGAGTTTGGGGGGCCTGCAGGAATTCTGTGCACACCCCAGGCTGCTGCTGGTTTCATGTTGGGATGGAATGCACCCTGATTTTGTGGGGCTTTGGCAGCAATCTGTGTGCTTCCTTCCCTCCAGTTTCCCTCCAGGTTTTTTTAGCAAAAGTGGCTGAAAAATCTCTATGTCAGAGTGGAGAAACTGCTACAAATGTGGGAAATTCTCTCTTTTTTTTTTTCTCTTTGACAGCTGGTCCTGGCTGAAAGTTCTCACTCTGACACGGGCTCCCAGTGCACTGAGAGCCACACAGACCTTCCACCACCCCTCGAGAGAACAGGAGGCATCGGAGACTCCCGCCCTCCATCCTTCCAGTAAGGGCAAATTATCTTATTTATTTATTGAATTGCAATTCCTGCCTGTTTATTTCTCCTGCTGCCGCAGTTGTTGTCCTTATAAAAATAACATATTGAGGGATTAAAAGGGAAATGGCTGAAATAAATATCCAAAACACCTCATTTTGGAAGAGTTAAGCAGCGAGGGAGCCCAAAATGCTTTCTGTGGTGGATGGATGACAGCTTATTAGGGTGTTGTGTGTAAATATGGAGTGTGCAGAGCCAGCTGAACGCTGCTATCAGGAAGGAAAAATTTCCATCAGGAATAATGCCTCGTCCATGGTCCATCCAGAGGCTGCCAGAGCTCTGTGTGTGGCCGGACTGGGAGTCCTCTGGTTTCATGGGAGCCTCGTTATTTCCTGTCCTGTGTGCAGAGCCAGTGGGTATCCTGAAAATACCTTCATTTTTTAGGGAGGGCCTCGGAATTTAGGGAGGATTTAAAGCTGGTTCTAACTGAGATCTTAGCCCGTGTTTGGAGAAGGAAACGCGGCCTCGATTTGCCTGGTGGTGCCATTGATTTCTGGGATCACCGACACCCTTAGTGTTGTGTGTGAGTCTTGTACAGATAAAAGCCTTCCAGAGGGGACAAGAAATCCTGGGAAATACCTGCCAGTGTGTCTTGCAAGGGCTGTGCTGCCCTCCTGTGTTCATGAATTGCCTGGGAGAGGCCTGTGCCAGTGCATGTGACCAGAAAATAGAACCAGTTCTTTGTCTTTCTGACCTAAACCTGCGTGGAATAGCTGCAAGATCAACCTTTTTTAAAAAAAAATAACCACCCTGTAAGTCAGACACTCTCTCTCCACCCTTTTTTTTCTTTCTTGTTTTAAACTGCATTAGAGAATCTGGCTTGTGGGGAGATCTGGGCTCAAACTTGTTCTCCCTCAATGTCTTTTTAGGTTCTTCTGTTCACAGTTGAACATCTTAACGTGTTACAGTGGTTTTTGCTGTTGTGTTTTATGAAATAATGGCCTGAGTTTATATCCAGAACTCGGGGCAGGGTATCTCACTCAGTTATTCTGCACGAAGCCCTAAATTCTGTTTCACTGTTAGAATTTAATTTTAAAACACACCCCAGTCCAGGTTTGAAGATTCCCAGCGGTAAAGAATCCACTGGGTTTTGAAGTGATTTGTTTCTCTTGGATAAACTTCAGTTGAGCTGCTCCAAGTCTTTAATTGTAAAGCCTGGCTTCCAAAACCTGAATCATGACTGTTGTCCTCCAGAAATTTTGGAAAATGATGTTTCTTGGGGGTTTTGCTGTGGTGATTCTGCAGTAAGTGTGATTTACCTTCTTGGGTCCTAAATCCCTGAGATTTTTTTTTTTTATGCTATTCGAGCTGCCAGAGATGTGTCATCTCCTGCCTTCCTCCTCCAGTGTTGATTGAGGCCTTATTTAAAAATAAAGAAGCACCAGCTGTTGTATAATGGTACAGAAATTGTACAGAATTGTACAGAAATGTTGCTGGACAACCAAGAATCCAGGGAGTAGATGCAGCAGGAACATCAGCAGGCAATGCCATCCAAGGGAATAATGAGGTCCTTGTTGGAGGTGAAGTGGTAACCACCTCCTGACAGCACTGATATTTTGATTAATCATTGATTAAACCCAAATAGAACTTAAATTTTTCCCCTCCCTGATGCGGGTTCTGAAGTTCATCCTGGATTTCAGGCTCTGTTTGGTGGTTTCCAAATCCCTGGGAGTGGGTGAGGCTGCTCCTGGTGTGGTGGTGGAGGTGCAGGAGCCAGGTGAGAGCACTGACCTCCGAGTTACCTCTCTCAGCCAGCTCTTGGGGATGTGCTCTGCAAACTGAGCTGGGTTTAATTGGCTCAGCAGGGAGAGGGGAAACAAGGCAGCTGGGAGTTCCTTTTGCATCCTTTGTTAGGGAATAACCCACCTTTTGTGGGCGGGTTTAGCCCAGGAAGCGATTTGGGAGTGGGAATTATGAGCGGAGTCAGTAGATGGTGCTGCTGGGATGTCCAAGGGACTCTCAGGGTGACCTGAGGGATCTGCCACCCCTCTCCCCCTTTTCAGCTGAACAAGAAATGCAAACAGCCATGTGACAGCACTGAAACACAGCCTGGCATTTTTGGCAGGGCTTCAGATGGGCAGGCAAAGGTTTTCTCGAATGACAACCTCGATTTCCTCATTTCGGTGGTGGGCATGTCAGCACATTTATTTCCTTCGTGCCCAGAGAGTGTGTGTGGGTGTGCAGGAGGCACAAAAGCCTCTTAACTATAACACTCCACACTTGTGCTTGCACAGAACCGGTCCTGGGTCCAGGGACAGGTTGGTTGGATGGTTGGGGGTTTAATTCCCTGTGTAAAACAGGCAGGGCAGTGTTCTCCAGCCTCGGGGAGTCCTGGGAGTGATACATGAGTGCCTCTGGTGCTTTGTGTCAGTCAGTGATGGTCATTACACCCTCTGTGTGCATAAATGAGGGCGTGTCAGGCACGAATAGCAGGTGCTCAGGTATGAGTGGGGAGTCCTTTTTAATCAGGTGGTGTTTGAGGGACAGAGAGGAAGAGTAGGACCAGTAACTTTCTAAGGGTGATGTTCCACAGCAGAGCTTTAGCCCAGGTCACATCATACACTGTTTTATTTTCAGGAGCTTTAGGTCATTTCCCTCAGTTTAATCCATTAAAGTGATCTGTGGCCTTTTCCAGCACTGGAGCTCAGAAGGAAGATGGAGAGAGAGAATTTGTGAGAGTCTGGAGTGCAGGACAAGGGGGAATGGCTTCAAACTGCCAGAGGGCAGGGTTAGGTGGGATATTGGGAGGGAATTCTAGGCTGTGAGGGTGGTGAGGGGCTGGGATGGAATTCCCAGAGAAGCTCTGGCTGCCCCTTCCCTGGAAGTGTCCAAGGCCAGGTTGGACAGGGCTTGGAGCAACCTGGTCTGGTGGAAGGTGTCCCAGCCCATGGCAGGGGTTGGATCAGGATGAACTTTTTAACACAGAGCATTCTGTGCTTTTATGCACTTAATTATTTTCAGCTTTGCTGTGACTTGCAGGACTTCAACCTTCAAGGTCAGTGCTCCTTATTAAAAGTGGCCAGTGAGCTGTAGCTCCTGCCCTTTGGCTGGGAGCTCAGCAGGTGCCAGAATGATCCCTCCCCTTGGCCCATCAGCACCTCTCTTTCCTATGGAAATGTCAGGCAACAATCTTGTTAGGCAGCTTTTCCCACGTCATGGTGATGTGCAAATACTGGTGCAGACAGCACCGTGTGTCTGAGGGCATTTGAAAATCACCCTTTCACTGTTTGAACAACATTTGCACTGTTTGAAAATAGCACCGTGTGTCTCAGGGCGTTTGAAAATAACGCTTTCACTGTTTGAATAACATTTGTGCTGTTTGAAAATAGCACTGTGTGTCTCAGGGCATGGATGTGGAGTTGTGTTTTCACCTCCCAGGTGGTTTTTTGGGGTGGGCAGAGCCAGGCTGGGTGCAGTGCTCGGCTGCAAGAACAGTTTTCTGGCTGCTGAACCGACTGTTTTACTGAAAGAGGGAAAAAAAGGGATGACCCTGGTGTTTGTTCCTCTCTGTTCTGTGACAGCCCCAACGCTGCCAGCAGCAGGGATGGCCTGGACAATGACACAGGGACAGAGTCAGTCATCAGCCACCGGCGGGACAGGCACCGGCGGAGGAACAGGGAAGGGCACGAGGATGGTGAGTCCTGGCTCATTTCCCCCCTCCCTCCTCACCCCCCTTTTTTTCATTCAGAAAGAACAATTTTCCTGCCAGTCTTTCAGAGCAACAATTGCTTTTTGCCGTGCAAGGAGACTTGTGTCTGCGTTCCTGCGTGCTTTCAGGGACTGTGATTATTTTAATGGAATAATTTGATAATTGCTTTGAAACTCTTTGAAGCTCGGCGTTTTCTGAGAGGTCTGGACAACCTACAGGAAAGTGGCAGAGGGATTATTTTTGACAACATTCAGAGCTTTCTGAAGATGAGTAGCTTGGAGAGGACTAACTGTTCATTTCTCAAGGCTCAGATCAGCCGGGTTTTTTTTTGCCGATATAACGTTGGCTCTGGAGATCTTTTTTTATATCTAAATACACCCAAAGTACACAAATAAACTGCAGAACTGCATCTCCTGCCTCTGGTCTGTACATCAAAGTAAGCTTGGTTTTTTTCATTCGTTGCCAGACAAGAATTTCCAGGCTTAATTAAGAATTAATAGGTGCCACCCATTGAGTTTAAAATGGTCCAGAATTTGGAATACTTGGGCCCAAGAGATGCTGTCACAATCTTTATTCACAGCTCCACCCACTAAAGTATTTGCCTGCAGTTAGGAAACCAGAAATCACATCTATATACTGTGGGCTAAAAACAGGTGTCTTCCTGTTCATTTAACCCTTCCAACATGTCACTGATACAGAAGGAGTGAAAATTCCTCAGTGAGTGTCTGTGCATGACCCTGACTGCAAATTCCTTTGGGAAATCACAGAAAGGGGCAGGATTTTTTAATAGGGTTGTGTTAAAAACTTGTTATGGGAAGGATGTTAAAAGGGGAATTGTTTTAAACATTAAATTACTGCCAGTGCATGTTTTGCTGTGGATATTCCTGGCTTGAGAGCTGGTGCTGGATGGTGTGGGGCCACAGTCTGGAATGCTCATATGGGATTGTTGGAGCACAGGAGCTTCTGCCTTTGGGGGGTCTGAAACTAGTTCTTTAGAAAAAAATGGGATAAAATTTCCTCCCCCTCCTGTCAAAGCTCAGGCAATAACATGTCAGTAATGCAAACATTCCCTGTTTTCTAAACAATCCAGGCCTTCTACCTGAAGCAGGTGAGTTTTGTTAACAGGCACGAAACAATGGTAACCATCAAAATATATTGTTTAATTTCCACAGTGTTTCTGTGGTCACAACAATATTTTATTTGACAGTAATGACAAAGAATACATACAATAACACCCCAGTGTGTTGTTTTCAGTGGGGAGCATCCCTAAAGTGCACAGTTGAGCACTGTGTCCCACTTGAAAATACTAAAATAAGTGAAATACCCTAATTCTGGAAAGGATTTGAAGGCCTTTTCGTCACAGGGATTATTCTTTTCTTGAGTCTTCACATCTTGTTTGTGTGGAGCAGTCCCAGGGAAAGGGGGACAAGGATGGGAAAGGGGAACAGGGTGTGACACCTGGATCCCAGCTCTTCCAGGGGCTTGTCATTATGAAACAGTGGTAAATCCTCCTTTCCCTGCAGAAAGAAGGGAATGCAGTGAGAGTGTTTGATCTGGTCCTGCAGGGACTCGTTTGAATAATACCAAAATTACAGCTCTGGTGGTTTTGGAGGGGCAGGATGAGGGATCTCCTTGGAGCCCTGCATTACTCAGAGGTTTGTTGCAGAGACACAGGGACAGCCCTGCCGGCTCAGCCAGCTGAACAATAACCTGAGCACCGAGGGTTTGGAACTCATTTGGGGCTCATTGTTGGGTGAAGTGTGAGTGTTTGAGCTCCCTGTTGGTGTAAAGAGGACAAACGAATTAACCTACCCCGGCAGTGAGGGTTTCCCTGGATACTCTGCAGAGGGAAAGGAGCACTTGTTCCTCAGGAAAACATGAGCAGTGTATTACAGCCTTCACTTCCAACAGGTGAAGTGAGAGAAGGTGCTAAGGAGCCGTTTGGGAACTGTAGAGGTGTGGACACATCGAGCCAAAACCTGTACAGGTGGAGGAGGCTGAGTCCACTGATCCCAGAGCGCTGTGGGACTGAGAGGCTCAGCAGAACTGAGGATCTTGTTCTGACCTGGGAAAACCCCAGGGCTGGGAAGAGAAAGGAAGCAAAATGAAGATTTTTCTGTCCTACTTTCCATTTTAATTTGCAGAAATGATTTCCTGATTTTATTGAAAAGCTTTGCCAGCTTTCAGTGTGACAGCCTGGGCTTGGACAGCAGCGGGGTTCTTACGGAGGCTTTCAGGTTTGATTTGGAGCCTGGGTGATGGGAAGTTAACCAGGTGGTAATTAAAAGTGTGGTATCATGGGTGGGTTGTTCACCAAACCAGCCTGTGTGTTTTCCTTCGTTGTTGCAGGATTACTCATCCCCAAAAAAGCTGTTTCTGCTGAATTGCTGCTGGGCAATTACAGACACAGAGAGAGAAGCCATTATAAATATTGAGGGCCCTGGCAGATGTGGACACACCTGGTGATCTGACAACGTTTTCACACCTCTTCCATATTGAAAATGCAAAAGGATTTTGCAGCAGAGGGGCTGTGATTTGCTAGACCAGGGATCCACTCAGATAACAACACAGGCTGGGGCATTTGTAAGCTCTTTCACCCATTTCCCTTAAATTATGCTCCTCTTTTAAGTGCAGAGGCAATGAATGCTTGTGTCTTCTCCTGGGCTTGTATATCCTCTGATTTCCAAGTGATACCCACAGTGTGGTGGCTTGAGGAACATAATAAAACTCTTTTGTTCATCCACGTGCATTTGGAGGTTTGTGACAGTGCAGGAAATCTTCAGGAAAACCGATCTGGAGAAGAAATCAGGATGTCAGGGCTCTGCTTTGTCTCTTCAAGCTACAAAAGTTGCCTTGGAAAGTTGACAAAGTCCTGTTAAGTGAAAGTAGAGTGAGGATCTTAATTAGAGACGTGGGAGGTCTGCCTGGCACATGTTCTGGGGACCCCTGGCTGTGGAGAACAAAGCTCCCGTGTCAGTCTGCTCAGGGGGAGTGGGAAAAGGGCCTGGGGAGGCTCTAATTAGGGAGGTAATTAAGGGACAAGTTTCCTTTGGCGTTGAGGGGTGTTTTAGAGCTACTGCTCGGTCTCTGACAAGTCTGCAGATGTCAAGTGTGGACACTGGTGTTTCGACACCGGGTTTGCTGTGGGGTGAACTTAACTGTTGTGCAGGCAGCTGAAAAATGCCACATGATGGCCTGTGCCTTGAGAAGCTCTTCATGTGGGCAGGCTTGTAGATCCCCAGATGTTTGGGAAGAGGAGCTGTTGGAGGTTTCCACTCAGTGCTGCAATATATGGATTTTTTTACTGCAGAGTGTGCCAAGGAATCTGAAGAAGGGCTGGAACTAGAAAACAGTTGCAATGGGAACTCGAAGCCTGTCTTTGGTGGAGTGATTAGAGGCTGTTTGAGGGTTCCAAAGAACTTCAAACACGAGGCAAAGCAGGATGCAGGGGTAGGGCATGGATATGGGTACAAGCATAGAGCAGGAGTGGACAATCTGATCATTCTTCCCTACTTGCAGAGGGGGAATCTGATCATTCTTCCCTTCCCAGGGACTGAGCCCTGCACCCAGAGGAGTTACGAGTCTTTATTGAGAAGCTGAGAACATATTTCTGTTAATAACTGGTAAAGACTTTCTGCACTGGAGGGGATTGGAAGGGCAGTTGTTTTTCCTCTTAACTGGGAGCTTGGATGTGCCTTCTCCCTGAGACACCCTTGTTCTCTGCAGTATCACAGAACCCTCCTTACACCTTCCTTGAGCAGATGCTGCTCTTCCCTTTCTGCTTTCCAGGCTGCTTTGATTTGGTCTTTGATGTGCTTCTGTCCCTCAGGCAGGGCCTACTCTGCTGTTGATAAAAGTCAAGGAGGACACATTTTACCCTCCCAGGCTATGCTTTATTCTCATCTCTGTGAGACACTCCAAGGCTTTTGTCAGAAGGTCCCCGTGAACTCTTGTCATCCTCCAAGGAAGAAACAGGGGCAGGGGGTCAGCAGGGCAGAAAGTCCCTGGTCATTAGTGGGACAGGCATTGAACCAGAGCAGGGAATGATTCTTGTTGGGACTTAAAACTTGCATATGTGGGGGTATTTTGTGAATAAACCCCTTATAACCATGGTTTGTGAAAGTACTCACTCAGTTATGTTTCCTGACCTCCCCTGCCCCCAAAAAGGGAATTTTATTTGAGTAGAGAAATTAGGAAAAACTTTTATGTATTTAAATGCACGCCTTAATTACACAGGAAACCTTTCTTGTGAGTTCAAGGCTGCCTGGTGCTGTTTGGGATGTATAAAATGGAGCTAAAATTGAAGTTTAAGTGGCTGATTAAATAAATTTTAGCTGCTGCAGCAGTGCATGGGAGCTTTGCTGTAGCAGAATACCTAATTCAAATAGGAAATGTGAAGTTGAACTCTGTTTAAAATATAACAGAGAAGATATAGCTGGATAAAGGAAAGGGAAAAAATATAAACAGGAGGCATTAGTGGTATAGTGAGCCCTTCTAATCTACATAAACCAGGTTGTTCTGGAATATCTAGAAATAAGGATTGTTGTTTAAGGTTTTCTGTGCTACCAAACTCAGATTGTGTTACCTGCTGCTTTCCCAGGGGCTTTATTTGTACCTTCCCACTGACACCAACTTCTCACGGCCCTTCTCCCTGAGGTCTGATGCCTTTACAGTAGTTGTTGGTGCCTCCTCCTTCTGCCTCAATCCATTTGTGACTTGTCCATGAACTGAGCTGCAGACAGATGGAAAAGTCAGGGAAAAGGCAGGACAGTAGATTTTGCAGCTGTTGAATGGGATCAGCTTGGTTTTGGCACGAGGGTCCTCTGCAACCGTGGCTGTGCCCGTCCTGCTGCTCCCAGTGCCGCTGCTTCCCTGCCCTTCCCCTCTGCCTGATAACACCCCCTCTGTGATTTTTTGGCAGCCCCTCGGATCAATGGGCACCCAAAGCTGGACAGGCACCGGGAGCACCCCCCTGGCTACGACAGCTCCTCCACCATGATGAGCAGTGAGCTGGAGTCCAGCAGCTTCATCGACTCCGAGGACGACGACAACACGAGCAGGTGGGGCACTGCCACGGGCACCGAGCTGGGAAATGCTCCTTGCATCTCTCTCCAGGCTCTCCACTGTGGCTCTGGGCTTGACTTGGATCTTCTCCTTCCGCCTTTCATTCCTTTTTACCCTGGTGTATATGATTGGAGCACTGACTGTGGCACTCAGTGCCATGTTCTAGTAGACAGGGTGGTGTTGGGTCGACTCGATGATCTTAAAGGTCTTTTCCAACCTTGTTGACTCTGTGATAACTCATCAGTAACATCATGTTGTGAATAATCTCTGCTCTAAGAACCAGGCTCAGTTACAGGGTCACTCTCCAAACTGCCTGTAGCCACTGCTCCAATAAAGAGGAAATTCTGCTCCTGCCCTTTCCTTTTAACAGCAAGAATGGTCACATTTTAAGATCAAAGCAATAAGCAACTGCCTACCTATTTATAAAGTAATAGTGTGAATATTATATTAAAATACCTTCAGCATAGGTTCCTAATAAGTGTGCACTTCACTAGAGCTGAATTATAAAGGAATTCCTGTGTAATTGCATAGTCTGAGACCTGTGAGCAGTACAGGAATTCATCAAAGTTAATGCTATTACAAAGGCAGGCTGGGTTGCTATATATTTATGACTCCTTCATTATTTCTTTCTTTCTGTGAATTATTCCTCACTTCTTGAAAAATACCTCTCCATTTGGAAAGATGCTTGTAAATCTCTAAAGGGGTTTTTGTTGTTCCCTAAAAGGTTTATGAGCCAATACATTTCTCGGATTTAAAATGCTTATTTTTAAGGGTGTAAAATGAATCAAAACAAATAATACTTTCCTTTCCTGGCAGCATTCTCTAAACAGTGTCTCTGGAGCTGCTGAAAACCCGTTACAGATTTCTGTGAATTGTCAGGGAACAAAATTGTACATCTTTGGTGATTCATAGAGATCTGTAACCTAAGACAAATAAGGTGCAGTGTGATGTTCTTAAATTTTAGGTAGAATGGAAACAGCATGAGCAGCTCCTGGAGATACTGAACCACTTGCTGTGTTTACAAACATGATCAGTTTATTGAACTTGGTGGGTCTGTTTGGTCCTGCAGTTGGTCATGGCTTGAAGAGCTGCTGAAAAACAGCAGCTCCTCCAAATTCTGCTTAAAGGCCATGTGCTGAAGGGGGAACTAAATGAAGATTTAGTTGAAGATTTGCTCCTGAATTAGTTTCAAGAACTTATTTTGCAGTTGCAGTGAAGTAGGAGGTGTCCCTGCCCATGGAAGGGGGGTTGGAACGAGATGATCTTTAAGGTCCTTTCCAGCCCAAACCATTCCATGGTTCTGTGATGAAGTTCCCAACACCTGAAGACACAAAAAAAATTACCCTTCTGGATGCTTTGTGCTTCACCTGGATGTTCATGTGCATAAAGGCTTGGCAAGATCAGCAGTTAACCTGAATACACTCTCAGCCTCCCTAAAGCCTCTAGGGCTTCTAACCCTCCTTCCCTCCCTAAAAAACGAAGCCCACAAAAACAACAACAACAACAACCCTGCAGTTGATTTGGGGTTTCTTGTAAATGAATTAATCATTCCCATGGCAGCAAGCAATGCAGTGGGGCAGGATTAGCACTGGAGCACTTCAGAGCAGACCCAGCTAAAGCTTTCTGTGTTAATAAAAGTCAAACTTCCTGCGTCTGACCCGAGAATAAAGAGATTCTTCGAAGCTGCTGCGCAGCCTTTCCCTCTCGAGGCTGGGGCAGGAGCTTTTGGCACAGGGAGCAGCTGCCAGGCCAGCTAGTCAGGAAGAACCACTCCATGGAATGCTCCAAGGTATGCTGTTGTGTTCCAGGGATGGTGTTTCTCAGGCAGATGAGAGATTGTGCTGGCAGGGAGAAGTTTTTTCTTCCGAGGCGAACGCAGGCAAATAACACCTCGAGAATGCTCCAGACCTGCTGGAGGCAGCCTGGGCAGGAAGGGGGTAAGTTTGGGGAATAACAGCTCAGGGACTCTGCTCTGTGGAGGAGATTGTACAGGGAGGAGGGCACTGAGAGAAGAAATCAGATGTAAGGGATGTTACTGTCTTGGAAGAGGTTGCAGGTTGAGGATGCTTTTCTAACTGGGTGTGTTTGACACTGGTTTATTTTTATTTTTAACTTGGAGCAGTGCAGCAGAGTGGGGCAATTCCCAGTCCAAGGAGAATCTGTTGCATTCAGTTAAAGAGTAATGTCTTATTTTGGTGAATTGACTTGTTCACAGATGTTACAGGGCAGCACAGAATGGCAGTGTGAGCACAATAATTTATTTGCTTTCTTTTCAAAGGATGACATGATTGAATGCTCGTGTTGTTTGCAGGCAGGAGTTTGAACACAGGTTGATGTAGGGAGCCCAGGGTGAACTTTACAGTAAAAATCTTATTTCTGTTAAGCAACCAAAGGTCTAAGAGAGATGACATCTGTAGGATTATTGTCAGCTATGTGCAGTTGGTACTCTCAGTTCAGTATAACTAAGATAATTCACTGCAAAAAACTTGATGATGTTTATTTCTCATTTAAGAAATTAGCATTAGTTCTCTTTAAACTATATGGATAAGCTGTCTTTAACAAGTGTTACCTTTTCCCCCTTCCTTTGGGGGATATAGATTGGTCAAATTATTGTTAATATTTAAAAAAATGCCTTCTTTGGGACTTATTAGCCTTTGTGTTAGAAGTGCAGTCAGGGTTTCTTGGGCAGTAGCCAGCGCAGGAAATTATTTGGTAGTGATGATTGCAGATTTGTTTTTCATCTTTGCACTTGGTTTGTCTCAAAAGCTCAAATATACCATCTTGTCTGGCTCATCAGATTGTGGTAATAACTTTTGCTCAGTATTTCTGAGGATACTTCAGGGAGCAAGATATTTTTCCTCATTAGAATAGGTTTGAGCTGTTGTTCAGCATCCAGACACTCCTAAAATATGAAGGATTCAGCAAGCATGCATGAAGGCTGTGGATTTTATAGAAATTGTAAGAAGAGATGGTGAAATGTGCCATAGCTACATGAAAATAGGTAAAATATATTCCTGCAGTGCCTCATCAATTTTGTGCAACTAATGGGAGAGGCTGTTTTAGCTCCAGGAGTTACTTCCCTGAAATACTGTCTGTCTTGAACTAAACCTTTTGAAGGCTTTTTGAAGGAGCTGATTCCCATTTTTCCACTCTAATATTGGGTAGAATGCAAAAAAAATGCCATAAAAAGAAGAACTTCACTTTGCACATATTATCATCTGGTAACAGAAGTTCAGAGAATTGCCAAAACCCTCTGATTTGGTTGGTTTAACTTAAAAGAAAACCCCCTTCTTAAAGAGCAGGTTCACTGTGAGCAACCTGGCTTTCCTTTGTTCAAATTCTCCTAAATTCTTGTGTGCTGGAAGGTTTTGGCTGAATCCTACTGGTGAGATATCCTGGGAGAGAAGAGGAGGAGAATGAAATTGGAGAGGAAATAGGAAGGGGGAGAATATTGGTAGTAAAATATAAGAGGAGGTTTTTATGTCACTCTTTGCTGGTGCTTTCGAGAGAGTGGTGGGTGTTGAACTAGTCCAGTTTTGGGAGCCCTGTGTCTGAGACCTCCTTACTTTTCCTGTTGGAAAGGCAAAGCCTCCCAAACCCAGGTGCTTTGAGCTGTTTCCACCAACGGAGGATTATCAAATCTCTGATCTCTTTTTTGAAAATCCCACCTCTTGGCTCTTTAATTCGCCCCTGCTGGGAGGGGAGAGAAGGGAGTGTGTGAGGTTAACATGCCTGAAATAGTTTTGTGAACTCAAAGGGAACGTCAGGAGATTCACACCCTCTGAGCAGCTCCAGCATCTGTAACACCCAGCTCGGTGTCCTTGGTGAGGACACCCCACTCTGTGCACGATGGGTTTCCCATGGTGGGCTGGAATCTCATGACACCAAGCTCCTGGTATCAAGTTTTCCTTGAGGTATTCTCACATTCCTTAATGTGACTGGAGCTTGGAGAGACTGGGGAAGAAGAAGCCTGGCACTGTTTGTTTTGTGACAGTGCCAGTTCAGTTACTTGCCTTGTGCAGGGTTGGATTTTTTAATCTTGGTTAATGATGGAGCATTCCTTTTTTTTTTTTTTCCCCCCATTCTTAACATAATAAATAGAGGAGAGATGTCTCTGTGGTGCTATAGTGGTATCTGAGAAATCTAGGCTTTGTTCCAGGCTCCTGAAATTAATTTGAGCAAATCCATTTATGTCTCTCTGTGTCTCATTCCGCTCTCTGTAAATTGGGGATGATTAAAGCTCTGAACTCTTGCAGGAATCTTAAAGATTTCTGTGTAGAATGTGGCACATGTAGGTTCTACAGGTTTGAAGAGCTTGAAAAAAAACCCAAAACCACAACAAGATAAAACTAACAGAATATGTGAAGGTAAATCATATTCCCTGTTCCTCTGTCACTATTTGCTGTTTTATTTCATTGAGTTCAAGCCTTAACTTTAAGTTCCTCTTAACAGTGGAAGAAAATACAGCACCAGGACAAGACTCACAAAAATTGGCATTAAGGGTTGCAGCCAGATTTGCTCCCAAAAGAAGGGAAGCCACTAAATTATTCCCCAATCCCTGCTGGGGTTTAGCTGGAATCTCCTCCGTGCTCTTGCAAACGGGCTGATGGTGTCGGCAGGATTTGTTCTCTCCCGCCTTTGGAATCAGCCTTTTTTTTTTTGTTTTTTGGCAGGGAAATGCAAATGGCTCAGCTCTGCAGAGGTGACATCTCTGCTCTCCTTTCCCCCTCAGGTTGAGTAGCTCCACGGAGCAAAGCACCTCATCCCGGCTCATCCGGAAGCACAAACGCAGGAGGAGGAAACAAAGGATGCGGCAGATCGACAGGGTAAGGTTGGCACCAGCCTTCTCCCAGGAGGTGAACCGTGATTCCTGAGCTTAGCTCTTGGCTCAGGAAGGGATCCAGAACAGGTCTGTGCCTGCTGAATTCTTTGGAAGGGCTCCCTTTGGCTCCAGTCTGGATAAATCTCTACGTTTGAAGTTCTGCAGCACCAGAGTCAAGTTTTTCTCCGCTCCTTTTCTTCCTTTTGCTGTTTAGGGATCCCATTTCTTGTCTTTTCCGAGACCAGTCCCTGCAGGAGAAGGTTCATTATGCTACTGGCTGATGTGAGAAGGGGTGTCAGATGCCTGGTGTATAAATCACTGAGACCTGCATTGTTCCTGAAGAAGAAATCTAAATTTATAGGAAATCTCCACTCTTCTCCCTTGCCCTTTCCCAGTGCTGTGGCAGCAGGATGAGGATGGCCTAAATGACAGAATCTTGGAGGAACTGTTCTGTTCTCCCATAAATACCAGTCTTCACACATTAAAGAATGAGCTCACATACATTTTATCCCAACAACTGGGGCAGTGTTTGAGCAGGTCTTTGATAAGCACATTCGTATTTAATTTTGGAGGCAGGGGAGTGTCTCTCCTCTCACTTCCTGGCCGATCGTGTTGTTCACCCCTCTCTTCAGGGAGGAGCTGTGGATGCAATAATTCACACTGCAGTGGGCACTTTAGGCTTTAAATGTTTGCCTGTCAGTCACAGGCAGGAAGCAGAAAGGATTCAAGGTGAAGTTCAGCTGAGAAACCTCAAAATAGGAACGTGCTCTGTGTGTTTTGGGAACAAATCTTTGGGGAAGGCGCAGACTGTGTTCAGATTTCTTTCCCTTACAGATTCCCTTACAGTAGCTTCTGGATGCCTTCCAAATGGAAACCTATTAATCAAATCCTGATGAGTTAATCCTCAGTAGTTCTTTTTATTGTCTTACTCTGTGCCATTTAAAACCTTGAGAATTCTCTGTTGTATTTTGCAGTCGTCTTCGTTCAGCAGCATCACCGATTCCACCATGTCCCTAAATATCATCACTGTCACACTCAACATGGGTAAGAGGATAAGCCCCGTTTATTGTGATGAATTTGAGATGTATTTTGTGGTGGTGGGGTAGCCTTTGGAGCCAGGAGAAAGTTCCTTGATTTGAAAGGATGCCAGGTGGACTAAAGGGACTGGCAGCTGAGAGTTGCTCCTGTGTTGACTGTGCCTGGATTCCTAGTCCAGAGCTGGATAGTTCTGAGCCATTCGCACGAGCAAAGCAGTGTTCTTTCCAGGGAAAGGGCTGGAACTCCAGGATATGGAGTTAGTGGTGAGGTGTAGGGATGGTGAGGGGTCAGACATTGTCAGAAGCAAGGGCAGAAGGGAACTGGAGGTTTGTGTTTCTGCTGCTCCTGCGTTTCATTGTTTAACCAGACAGAAATGTGCAGGGCTGCCAAGTAGCTCAGCAGCTTTCAGTGGCACCAAACCCTTCCTGCCACTCCGAAGTGTGGAACAAACATTGCTCAATGCTGGTGGGGTGCCCAATTTCGAGGTGTAGACGTGTCCTTTCAGTGTTGGTTCTCTTGCTGTTGTTTTTTTTAATGTAGCTTTTCATTATCCTGTATGAACAGATCATGTCTTTAGCACTATTTCCCTGAAGGGGCCAGGCAGACACTGGCCACTAGGGCAACCTGAGATCATTGTAAGCCAAACCTGGCCCAGCTGATGTGTTGAGAGAGCTGATTTCTTGAGGCTGAAGTAGCTTGGTCTTAACTCTTTGCTGTCATTCCAATCACTCTGTTTGCTTTTTTCCCTCCCTGCCTTCTGCTTTCTATCCCAACAGAAAAGTATAATTTCCTGGGAATCAGCATTGTGGGGCAGAGCAATGACCGGGGTGATGGTGGCATCTACATCGGCTCCATAATGAAAGGAGGGGCGGTGGCAGCGGACGGCCGGATCGAGCCGGGAGACATGCTCCTGCAGGTTGGTCCCAGAGCATCCCAAAATACCTGCTGCTGGCTTCCACAGGGCTGGCTCAGTTCAGGCATCCCACCAGGCCCATAGGGTCGTAGTAATCACTTAACAGAATTCATTCACACTCAGAAAAATGCATCACAAAGACTGTTATCGGGAGTTCTTTGTGAGATGCGCTCTGAGAAACGACATTTCTGCAGCTGCTCAAAGGAATGGCAACAGTTACAAGGCAAATAAATTGGGACACAAATAATTAAAATGTCTTTAAGTTTGCTGTCCCGGAGCCTGACCTCTGCTTTCTGCACTGTTCCAGGTGAATGATGTCAATTTTGAGAACATGAGCAATGACGATGCAGTTCGGGTTCTACGGGAAATAGTCTCCAAACCAGGGTGAGCACATTGCAAAACCTCCTGCTATTGATCCTCCATGTGCAGTTACTGGAATGGGGCAAACCTCAGAGAAAGCAGCATTTTGATCTCCATTGGGAACCAGCATTTTGATCTCCATTAGGAACCAGCATGACTGTTCCCAGCCCTGAGCTTCTCAGTGTGCTGATGAATAGGTGAGACTGGTTTCAATGCACCAGCCAAAACCAACACAAATGAGGAGCTGCCTGGTTTCAGCAGCACTATTTCTTTACCTGATGAGCATTTTAGTGTGTCAAGAGCTGATCATTCAACAGATATCACCCACAGTGCTCATCACCTGTGCAAAACCAGAAGCATCCTGATACTGGTTCATACGGGAAATATTTCAACGAGCATCTCAAAAACATTCTCAGAATGTGCTTGACAACTGTTGGACAGGAATAAGTTTGTTTCAAATAGTTCTTGTCGCTGTTCCAACTGTGCAGGAAAGTTAAGAGTCATCCTAACCTGTTTTCTCTCTTCCTAGACCCATCAGCCTAACAGTAGCCAAATGCTGGGACCCAACTCCCAGGAGTTATTTCACCATCCCCAGGGGTGAGTACACATTTGGGCTCTTTGCTGGGTTCCTGTGGAGCCCTCAAGGTCTAGAATATTTTCACCTATTTTGACATCCAACACATTCCCATTCCCTACAAGTTCAGTTCTTTTAAGTTTGGTCGCTCTGTTTGTTTGCTTTTGGTTTGGGAGGCAGGGGTTTAAATCCCTTTCTGAGACTCCAGTGCCCACTGAATTCCTGGGAGTTTTTCTTTTGATTCACATGGATTTGGATCAAGCCCTTAACCTTTTGGAGGGTATATCCTCATGATCTTGACCTTTCAGTTGATAGGAAGTTTGGAAGATAACCATGCAGAAGTGTTAAAAAGTCTCATTTTATCACATGTGCACTTCCTGGAATTTAAACTGATATTTTTAAAATTTGAGGCAAACAGCAAAGAGATACATATCATTAATATTGAAATACATATATAATAGGTAATATTAATAGAATATTGAAATATATTTCTGTTAACAGATAATATTGAAATGATCTCATTTTACAGCTTGTGGCTCAATAAACTTTTCAGTAGCAATAAAAGATCTGTTCTCATGTGACAAGCACAGCTGCCTCCTGCTGGTGAGGGCTGAGCTTGTGATGGTGAGACCAGTTTGTTCCCAGTAAGGGCTGACCAGTTCATTCCCAGTCTGAAGATGAGGATGGCATTGCCCTTTGAAATTAATGCAATAGAAAATGATCTCATTTTCCAACTTGTGGCTTACAATAGCTTGTGACTTAACAAGTTTTACAACTTGTGGCTTTTCAGTAGCCATAAAAGATCTGTGCTCATGTGACAAGCACAGCTGGCTCCTGGTAAGGGCTGTGCTTGTGATGGTGAGACCAGTTTGTTCCCAGTCTGAAGATGAGGATGGCACTGTCCTCTGAAATTATTGCAGTAGAAAACGATCTTGTTTTAAAGATCTCATTTTAACGTTAAAACACAAGTTAAAACTTGTGGTTTAATAACACGGCTGCCTCCTGCTGGTGAGGGCTGAGCTTGTGATGATGAGCCCAGTTTGTTCCCAGTAAGGGCTGAGCTCGTGATGGTGAGCCCAGTTCGTTCCCAATAAGGGCTGAGCTCATGATGATGAGCCCGGTTTGTTCCCAGTAAGGGCTGAGCCCATGATGGTGACCCCAGTTTGTTCCCAGTACGGGCTGAGCTCATGATGGTGAGCCCAGTTTGTTCCCAGTACAGGCTGAGCTCATGATGGTGAGCCCAGTTTGTTCCCAGTACGGGCTGAGCTCATGGCGGTGAGCCCAGTTTGTCCCAGTCTGAAGCTGAGGATGGCACTGCCCTTTGACATGAACGCCCCAGCCTGATGCAGACTGGGGGCGAAGCCCTCGGGAAAACCAGCCTGACCCAAACCAAACCCCCTGGGACTGTGAAGGTGTTGGGACAGTGAAGGTGTTGGGACTGTGAAGGTGTTGGGACTGTGAAGGTGTTGGGACTGTGAAGGTGTTGGTGCCTCATGTGTGACCCCCTCATGTCTCTCTCCCCGTCTCCTGCAGCTGAGCCGGTGCGGCCGATCGACCCCGCGGCCTGGATCTCTCATACCACGGCCATGACGGGAGCGTACCCCCGTTACGGTATGAGCCCCTCCATGAGCATCACCACATCTACCAGCTCCTCACTAACAAGCTCAATTCCCGAGTCGGAAAGTAAGTCACCCTGAGGCCAGCCCAGGGCAGGGGGGTGCCCGGGGCCTGCTGGGCCCCAACCCCGCCCCGGCCACGAGCACGATGAGAGCGGCAGCCACCACACCACACCCAGCCCCTGAATGCTTTGCCTTGCACTTGGGATTCCTGTGGGGAGCAGAAAAACCTTTTTTTTTTAATTTTTTTTTCCTTTAAAGGTTAACACAGTGTTCGGTCAGGGTTCACCCTCAGGAAGGTCCCCATTTTAAAGATCCGAGTCGGGTCTCCGGCTTCGCCCCCTCAGGGGAGTGGGAGAGCTCCCTCCTTGAATTTGGCTGTTTTTCAATAAATTTAAATAACTTTAATAAATTTAAATATCTTTAATAAATTGAAATATCTTTAATAAATTTCAATGTCTTTAATAAATTTAAATGTCTTTAATAAATTTAACTATCTTTAATAAATTGAAATATCTTTAATAAATTGAAATATCTTTGATGAATTGAAATATCTTTAATAAATTTCAATGTCTTTAATAAATTGAAATATCTTTAATAAATTTAAATATTTTTAATAAATTTAAATATCTTTGATAAATTGAAATATCTTTAATAAATTGCAATAACTTCGATAAATTGAAATAATTTTGATAAATTGAAATATCTTTGATAAATTGCAATAACTTTAATAAATTTAAATATCTTTGATAAATTGAAATAATTTGACGAATTGTAGTATCTTTAATAAATTGCAATATCTTTGATAAATTGAAATAGCTCTGATAAATTGAAATTACTTTATTAAATTGAAATCACTTCAATAAATTTAATCATTTACTAAGGTTTTAAATAAATTTAAATAAGTTCCTTCAGATAGATGTCACTGGTTAATAACGTTAGTAGTGTACCATTTAGGAAACCTTCCCCTGATGTTCCCACGGCCTTGTTTTATACTTTTTTTTATACTTTTAGAATGTATTGAACAAGGAAAAAACAAGTTTAATGTCCCATGTGAAGTTATTATGGTTAGAGCTCAACTTTCTTTCCTGGTTTGTCTGTGACAGTCTCTAAAATAAGTTATATCCACGTGACCAAGAAACTGCCATGGTGCCTTATCTTGGAAACATTTGTTTAGGGAATGTTAACTCCTCCTTTCTTTTACTCAAAACCACACTTTGAGGATTTTGAAGACCAATGTTGGCGTTGGTTATAAAATCTCTCAGGTTTTATAAGCTCATATTTCCTGGAATTACACCTCACCTGGCAATAAAAGGGAAGGGGTTTTTTGGAGGTGTGGTAGCTCAGTGCCTTTAGATCTCAGGCAGCAGCACTGAGGGGAGATACATCTGCAGCAGAGAGCAAGTGAACCCCTTCCCTGGTGGCTGCTTTGTCCTGAGGTGTGTTTTCAGCCTTACAGGTACTACAGATTGCTGGAATCAAATGTATCTGCTGGTTGCTGTCAAACAAGAGTCTGTGCTCAGCATTCCTCTTGATCCATGTATTCTGTGCCTTGGTTATGGTGCTGTGACTGGGGAGTGGGGAACAGCCCCCCTCTCCATCATATGTTGAAAATAAAGGTATTTGGGAGCAGAACCACATTCCTGGAGACAGCTTCTCATTTCTGTGCCAGTGACTTCCAGTATTTCCTTTCTGGAGTGCAAGAAAACGTGGAGTACCCCTGAGCTTTGTTGTGGCCCTTCTGCTCTCCAGCCTTCCCTCAGCCCAGCCCTGTGACCTGCCCCAAACAAGGCAGTAGCACCTCAGGGCCCCAGGCACAGAGAGCACCTCTGTGAACACCCCACAGTTCACTGAGTTCTCTCCAAAGTTGGGAGCATTTTAGATGCCTCTTAGAATTTTCCTTATTTGTCCAGCAACTTAGAAAAAACACTGATGACCATTTGGCCAGTGTTGTTCTTTATGTGCAGGTCTCCAAGAAAATACAATTTATTGCTCCCCACATACTTTACTGAAATGTTAGTTTGTTGGGTTTTGATTTTTTTTTCCCCCAAATGAACATGTTGCTTTTTGCCACTAACCAAACTAACTTAAAGCAAAAGCAAAATCTGGGTGTTTATTCAGAGTTTGTAAGTATTGAAGCTGCATGCATAGCTGCTCTGAGGTGTTTTCATGCCTATTGGCAGTGCATGTATGGAAAGAAGCATTTTCAGTTTTCATTGTTTCACGCTTGCTGTACCTTCTGTCAAAATTCTGGGTGGCTGGAAAAGGACAAAATTGGTTCCCGGGTGCTTTTGAAAGGTGGGTGATACGGGGAGAAGGGAGGGGAGAGGAGGGTTTCTGAGTTCCTGCTGGAGAAGGGTCTGGACTGCAAACACAGACACGTCCAACGTGAATTTTCTGGGGCTGGGAGATGGGACAGGAAGGAGGACTGGGTGCTGTATCCAAAATTAGTTGTCTTGTGTATGGCAGGATAAGTGAGTTCTGCACAGAACACAGGGAAGCTGGTGGATTCCTGGACCCAGATTCACCCTCTGGGCAGGCAAGGGGTTTCTAAAGGAATTTGATTCCTACAGTGGGAACCTCAGTTCAGCAGGGTCAGTGTCAGCCCTGTTATTCTGATTTTAGTATAAAAATCAATCAGGACAGTGTGAAGCCTCTGAGGATCCAGCTCTGCCCTTGGGAGTGTGAAATGGGAATGGAGCAGTGATGGTTGTGGAGGCATTTGGGAGCTTTTTTTTAAAAGTGTTCTACAGGAAAGATGCAGGGCAAAATAGTTCTGGGTGGAGTGACTTGTTCACTTGTAAGGGTCCAACACCGGGATCCTGGGAATTGGTTTTTTTGAAGGAAACCACTTGCCTTTCTCCTGATGATGGAAGATTTCTTTTCTAATTTCAGTTCTCCCCGAGAATGCTGATGTCCAAGTCTTAAAAAAGGAAAAAAACAGGATATTGATTGAGGCAGGGTTGTCCTCCTCCTCCATGCAGATGGGTTATCTCTGAGACTTAACCCAGAAGTTAAAGAACAAGCAAAAAAAACCTTGTCCCACAGAGTTCTGCACTGATCCCTTGGGTGGGAAGGGCTGTTCATGGCAAAGTGAAATGGAAGGGGAGGGTCACAGGACTTCTCTGGGTTTCTTTTTCTTCCATTTTCCCTGGAATGGGAAATCCAGGCACGTGGGGGCTCAGCATTTCAGTGGCACAGAGCACAAAATATGAAGAATTGGTTAAAATGCTGTAATTTATGCCACGGATGAGGGTGCATTTGGGATCCTTTGTGTCTTTTTTTTTTTTTTTTGCATCTGTTGGTAAAACTGTG